TTTTTTTGGCGGAACCAGGTATTGAACTCAGGCCCTTGCGCTTGCCAGGGAAGCACTTATTCCACGGAGCCATCTCCCCAGCCCTGTGGTGTTATCTTGATTGCAGAGCACTGTGCATGTACCCTTTTCCAGCACAGCCAGAGGACCCCATGTGCAGTGACTTAACACTATTCAGCCCAGTCTCTAAGTTAAATTATTATTATTATTATTATTTTATTTTTTATTTTTGGTGGAAGTAGGGACTGAACTCAGGCCCTTGGGCTTACCAGGCAAGCAGTTATTCTACTGAGCTCCCCAGCCTTGTGTGGTCTTAAAGTCTTTTTTTAATTGGCAGAACCGGGGATTGAACTCAGGCCTTTGTGCTTGACAGGCTAGTACTTATTTACTGGGCTATCTCCCCAGCCCTTAAGTTAAATTATTATTATTATTGGTTTTTTTGTTTGTTTATTTTTTTTCTTTGGTGGAACTGGGGATTGAACTCAGGCCCTTGCGGTTTCCAAGGAAATTCTTACTCTACTGAGCCATCTCCAACCCCTTCTAAGTTAAATTAAAAATTAAAAATAAATAATAGATTTAGGAAAAGAGAATTCCAAGGATGCTGAGAGTTAGAAGGAGCCTAGCAGGAAAGGAATCGAAGAAAGAAACAGAAAGAGCTGCCAAAAGGTGCGAGAGATCTAGAGATCTAGAGGTGAACCAGGCACAATAGCTAGCATACTCCAGTAGCCCCAGCTACTTGGAGGCTGTGGCAGGAAGACCACCGGAGCCCAGGAGTTCATGACCTGCTTAGGCAACATAATAGGACCCTGGGGAGAGGGAGACATCAACCCCTCATCCCAAAGGGGATAGTGTGGGGCGTCCAAGTCCTTATTATATAAATAAGGAAAGTAAAGTTCAGAAAGATTATTTTGTTTAGGGACAGGGTCTCACTATATAGTTCAAGCTCGCTTTAAACTCACTGTGTAGCCCAAGTTGTCCTGAAACTCACAACAGTCTTTTTGCCTCAGCTTCCTGAGTCCTGGGATTGTAGATGTATGCCATTGTGCCTGGCTACAAACTATCAAGATATTCCCATGGATACTTCTGGGTGTTATTTTCCCGGTCTACCAAGTGAGGACCTTCCTAGTTCTGTGCAGCACTTTTAGGTTACCATGAGGTGAAAGTAGTGACAAAAATCGAACACTGAAGGACTGTGAGCGTAGCAGGTACCGTTGGTGGTCAGGGTGCACTGCTCTGCTGGACCCACTGTCTGTGTGTATCAGTGACCATTGCACAGAGAATGGAAAGAACATACTGGTCCCTCTTCTCTGCTCAGACCTCTTGAAAGCATCCTCCTTTGGCAGGTACGCCCTGACTGCCCCTGGAGACAGCCCTTGTGCTCGAGTTGGCCACAGCTGCTCGTATTTACCTCCAGTTGACGACACTAAGAGAGGAAAGATCTTCATTATCGGGGGAGCAAATCCAAACCAGAGCTTCTCAGATGTGCACACCATGGATCTGGGTAAGACCAACAGCTGTGGAGCGGCCACCCTTGGGCTGAGCATCCCTAATAATACTAGCTCAGACCATATGCCATAGTATTTCTCTAAAACAAAGTAAAAGGGCTGGGGAGATGGCTCAGTGGAATAAGTGCTTCCCTGACAAGCGCAAGGGCCAGAGTTCAATCCCTGGTTCCACCACAAAATAAAAATAAAAATAAAAAAAGTACATCACTGACAGGGCCCTAAGATCTCAGCTGAGCTCTTGCATATACTTGGAAGACCAATACATTCTCTCTTTTTTTTTTTCTGTTTTTTTGGTTTTTTGAAGTACTGGCGATTGAACTCAGGACCTTGTGCTTGCCAGGGAAGCACTTATTCTACTGAGCTATCGCCCCAGCCCTACTTCCTCATTTTGGAGGAAAGAACTTACATGGAGCTCTTGCCATCCAGCCATTCTTTCATCAGATCCTTCTCTGGTAGACCATCGGGGATCTAATCAGTGGTCAAGTCCTGGATACCTCCTCTCTCCAGTCATGTCTTCCCGCTTCACTATGACCACTGTAGCCCCGGGCACTGTTACCCCCAGACTTCTGGACTCACCTCCTTCCTGGTCTTCCTGCTCGCAGGTTTACCTGCTGTACAATACATTTTTCCAGACCTAGCCAGAGATTCTCATCTTAAATAGGAATCCAGCTGCATCACTTGCCCTACTCAAGCTTTTCCCATCCTCATCTCCCAGGTCTCCCCAACCCACATTTGCTGTACTGAATATCTTTCAGTTCCTTAGTCACTTGCTGAGCTCTGCCCTCCAAGCCACTGCACATGCAGTGGTCTCTACTTGGAAGGCCTAACCATTTTGTCATTTGGCTACAGATCACAGGTCACATGTCGGGAAGCTTTCCCTGCTACCTTTGGACTAGTTTAGACCTCATCTGCCTGTATGTGTCCATACTATTGTATACTCCTTAGCCATTTCCGTCTTTTCAGCTTTTAGCATATGTGCTGTTTTCTCTTCTTTCTTTCTTTCTTTTTTTTTTTTTTATAAGCAGAATATATTTATTGGGGGAAAGAAAACTTCTGTCCAATAGAGGGACAGAAGGGGGGGGGGCCTGAGCAGGTTGTCCCTTGGAAGCTGTCTCTTCCAGGGACTTTTATAGAGTAAACCATGTGGTGAGATGAGTGGAGAACAAGGGAACTCTCTTAGGTGGGCATGAGATGGGACAAAACTATGGTCAACCAATGAGATTACAAGCACCATTGCTCAGGTACAATTGATTAAACCCAGTTGAGGGTTTAAACTCAAATGAGGAAGCGAGTCACGTAGCAAGTGGGCATGAACACGGGACAGGGCCTCTCCCTGTTGGGGGTTGGGTTAGTGACTTATTTGAGCTCTTTCAAGGTGATTGATGCCTATTTAGAATATCAATCCTTGATGCCCATCTCTAGGGAAATATGTAGCTGTGTTTGTTTCCTCTTTTGTGTGGGGTGTGGCCCACAGTGGGGAGTGTCTGTCTCTTCCAAGGTGACAGTAACCTTGTCTTCCATACTGTCTCCCTGAGGGTCTGATCCTGTCTGACTGCCTATAATATTTTTATCTAATTCAGCTGCCTACAATATTCCCCCCTCTGAAGAAGTAACCTGAACTGCTGTGAGGGGGCCATGGGCGATGACCACTCTGGCTTTTTCAGGCTGAAAGGGGTTGTAGTTGTTGACCAGCAGTCAGAGATATTCTTCAGAGGTTCTACCTAAAGACCCTCAAAAGCCACCAGGCATTTTCATCTTGGGTAGGGATATAGTTTTGAGTCTGGAGGAGACAAAGCCAAAGAAACAATTAAACATGTATGAGGGCTGGGGAAATAGCTCAGTGGTATAAGTGCCTGCCTGGCAAGAACAAGGTCCTGAGTTCCATCCCCAGTACCAAAAAACAAAACAAAACATATAATAATAACATCAACAGGGTAGTTATGAATATAGTCAAAGGTTTATATCAAGCAGACAGTGTCTTCCC